GTCCGTACTGTCAAGACCTCGGGCCGATATTATCCCAGTACGGCCCTCGCGCTTGGTTAATAAGATATATTTACTAATGAGATTTTGGGAATGAAAGGGTTAAATTCGATAAAAATCCTTATTTAGTCTTTTTTTGGTTGTTGTTTTTAATCAAAATCTATTAAGGCTTAGTAGCTCGAAAGCTAAAATTTGGATCGAAAGACGTACCTTTGATATAAATATTTGGCTGAGGTTATTTCGTCGTGTTCATTAGTTTGACACTTAATCTTTGAGAGTTTCTCTTCACCTAGCAGTATAAATGATACCGGGAGATTGTTAAGCAAACCTCTTATGGGGGGGTTATCCAATCATGACTTGTTCCATTCAGCAGGAGGAGATTGTTAAGCAAACCTCTTATGGGGGGGTTATCCAATCATGACTTGTTCCATTCAGCAGGAGGAGATTGTTAAGCAAACCTCTTATGGGGGGGTTATCCAATCATGACTTGTTCCATTCAGCAGGAGGAGAAGTAAGGGTACTATCTTCAAAAATCACTTTACGCTGTAGAAACTGATAAGCTCAGGTGGTAATGCCTATCATTCCGTTTGTTTCCTTTGTCGTTCATCTTTCGTTTCTTATGAAATCTTGCAGCTTGTAGAGGAGATAACCAATCGAAAAATATGTGGTGTCTACAATGGAACTCTAATGTTTTTCAGGTAAAATATGTTACTTCTCTTCGTTCTGAAGGAGGGTTTGTTCTTCTAGTATGTATGTTATTTTGTTTTCATTCATGTGTAATCTTTTCTTACTGACATTGTCAAAGCTTATGGGGAAGTCAATAAGTTCTTAACTGTAGAAAATATGACTCCAACTAACCTTGCTCTTCTTGGTTGCTATGTCTCCATTTTAAGTCGTACATACACGGAGCGTGGGACGACTATTTGTAGGGGTCAGAATATGCAAATCTGACACTAAATCGATGTAAACAAATTGGAGGCGGCGTGGCCGAGTGGTTAGGGTGCTGGATTTGTAATCAAGTGGCCTGGGTTCGAGTCCTTCACCCTCTACTCGCTGGATTTGTTGTCGGTTGCCCCAAGTTCAACTCATCGGCCGCGCTTTGTAAATAGCTTACCGGTCTGCATCTTACCAGTGGGGATTTTCATGCACTTTATGTTTAATTAAAATCTTTGTTTGATTTATTATTTCGGCGCTTTTAGATATATATATTTATTAAAAACTGGATCATTGGATAATGCAATTCAAGACTTTTTATTGGCTCAACCATTATGGTATATGAGCCACTATAACAAAATCTAATTTCTGTACATTGTTAAATCCGGTTTCTTCTCACAAAATAAGGTCGAGGAGATTTGTCTAATATCTTGGGGGCGTTTTTTTTAATAAAACAATTATTCCACTTGCGCTTGTTGGATATGAGGTGATTATAGCGCTTTAGAAGTCAATAAATTATTATTGTTAATTATTATTGAACAAATTGACATGTAAACAGCAGACCTATTGATACCGGAAGGCCTCCAACGACTTACAGTAATTTACCAATTGAACTAACAAGCCAACTAGAAGCTGGTCACTAGCTTTCATATTCATTTCATAAAAAAAAAAGTTCACATTTATGATTTTTATATAACCAAACTCATTGATTCATCACTTCACGAGTTTCAGTCATTACGAACCAACATAATGACCTGGCTCCGGTTGTTCAAAGAGCGGATAACGCTATCCAACGGATAAATCACTATCCAGCGGATAAGTATTACCAAAACGTACTACGCTATCCACTAGATAGAGATTTATCCTTTTAGAGCGTTATCCATCCTTCGAACAACCGGGGCCTGCTAGATACCTCAGTTGGTAAAGCGCTGTTCCGCTATGGCATTAGTCTCTCTAATTGAACATATTATTTTCAGTTTCTCTCTTATGCAATAGACGCCCGTGTTCTAGAGAGCTACTGTCCTCCTCTATCTCATGCTCGTGATAAGAGGAAAAACAATGTTTACCCAATATATTTCATTATCGGGTTACAAGAAATTCATCAGCTGTCCTATTCTATTTACGACTTGTGCATTGACAGGGTGGTTTAATCTTTGACTCAATACAATATCAAGCGGGCAAGTGCTGAGAATAAGGAAAGAAGAGAATCAGGGGATTATCAGTTGATCCAAAACCAAATTCTTAAACTAACATCATAAGAACTTTATGGCAGACAGTAAATAGAATTGCAAATGAGATCTTGGGAGTGAAAGGGGCTAAGGATCAACATGTTCCGTACTGTTTAGCAGAATATAAGACCATTCAAAGATTGATGTACCATCGAGGTTTTCTGTAATTGCCATCAGGTTTAATGAATGCAAACATACTGGGAGTCAATAGCTGTTTAAGCACGCAAATGTCCAATAAAAATGTTTTCACAGTAGGTTTACACTCTACTGGGTAAAAGCCGTGGATAGTTTTCATAGTCTTTTTCAAATACGATCGGCCGTCGGGGAAACGAGAGACTGGGAAGAGTGAAACGAACAGTTTCAAACAATGCTCACCTACGAACACTCGTGAATACATCAAAAGTAATAAGTTATCTATGTTAGATGAATGATTGCATTAAAATTTTTTATATTTTTATTTCGTTGAGGCCCGACCACAATTCCAGTTACATAATAGGACATTATCACTTTCCGACAAGCTTTCAAAATATTGCGTACATCGCTGATAAGATGCTAGGATTAACTCTTAATTTCTCTGCCGCGGAAGTTATGGCCGTACACCAGTTCACAGGTAGGAAGATAATGGCTATTAATTGACCACTTTAAAAAATGGCTGCCGGATTAATATTCTTTTGTTTAAATTTAAATTAGCCTTTCTGGCCTCGCTTGAGATAATGTATTCTTTTGAATTTTATACTGGAGAACGAGGCCAGAAAGGCTAATTTAAATTTAAACAAAAGAATATTAATCCGGCAGCCATTTATGAAAGTGGTCTATAAGGTGATCATTGTACAGATCTTCGTTTCGGCCGTGTAGCCAAGTTATCCCTGTAGGCTTCATTTCAAATACATTAAAAGCTCATTTTCTTGTTTTCCTTGAGAAATCTCTCAACCTCGTGCGTAGCATGATGTCATATTATGTCACTATAACAACCAATTTCTTATCAAACTTGACAAACTTGCGAGAGTAACAAAAACTCTCCAGAGCGTAAAACTAGTGCATACAGTTTTTGTTCTGCTCACGTAAATGATAATTGACACCGCGAGTGTTTCTAGGGCTAATTATAACTCGAAAATTCATGAGGATATTCCCATGAAACATTCTGAGGATAAGTTTTAGTTAATGTGTTATTGAATTATTATAATTGATATAGTCCCTATTGTCACTTTCCTTTTAAAATTTATAGCACAGTGTCCTGGATTAAGCTCCTATGTTCGCGTATCAACATCTTTGTCGCGCGATTTTAACTACCCGACCACATATCGCAGGCAGGATACTAGAGTAATTCAGGGATATGTGAGTTTCTACTGCGCAAATCCGCCAAAGAAGAATTACACATGGGAAGTGGCGTATCTTGGCCCGGTTAGTGTGATTTAATGTACCTTGATTAGGTCGTGTCTCTTTTGTCTATATTTTGCGTTTCCAGGATTTTCGCAGCTTGTAGACTTGTTTTTTGATCCGATTAGTAAATCTGAGGCCACGGAGCT